CTGATGTTAGGCTTGATGTTCCATATCTATGCATATTCATGAAGTGAGTGATTTTCAGATGTGCTTAATATCTGCATCTGCTGTCAAATTTAAGGTGCCCCCTCTGGCAATGCTCATACCAGGCTGTGACTATGGCAAGAACAAGGATGAAGTTTTTATGGCAGGACAGTGCATCAGACAGCAAGACCGAGACAAATGTTATAGTAAGAAAAAGATCCCAAATCCATCTTTTAAATGAGTAACTTAAAATCACAATGGACTTCAGCTCCTTCAGCAGACTCTAGACAGGCTAAACTTTGTAACTGCTGAACTTCAGGGAGCTGCAGAGAGGGGTCAGTTTCAAAGAGTTAAAAATAAAAGTAATGAATATTTTGTTTTGAAAAAGCTTGAGCAACACATGGGAATTTATTTGTTACATTTCTTCACTGTTTCAAGTTAGTAGTTTTTTAGAGCAACTGGCTGTAACTAAGCTTTTCAGGAATGCTGGCTCAATATGTCTCCTTATGAGCTTTGAAAGCATTTCCTACAGATGAGTCCTTGTTTTTGCCTGTGCAGGTAAGACAGAAGCTTTTAAGTATATAACCTTACCCTGGTGCTCTCATGGTATTAGGGCTTGGTGGATATTCATTCCCACACCTCTGGGCCATTTCCCTGACTAGCACTGGCAGTCCTCTTCTGCAGAGCCATAAGGACTGCCCAAGTTTGCTCTATTAAGCTCGCCCATGATGTTGCAACTGGCACTAACTGGCCTTTTTGCTGGCAGCTTTCGGCAAGAGATGAGCTGTGAAGCCTGCACTCCACCGTGCTCCAAAGGTAGCAGAGAACAGAAACACGGTGGCCAGTCAGTCTGAGGAAAGCCGATGCCGCTATGGCTTGGTCTACAAACAAAGGACTTCTGTCTCCAAAGCTGAGAAGCCCCAGCCTTTTTCCAAGCTGTGATTCTGTTTGAAAAACAAGCCTGGACCCAGTTGAGTGAGTGAGCTATGTAGTCACTGGTGTAGTTTGCCCAGTTTCTCTGGGCTCAGCAATAGGCTTGACTTCTGTCCTAGAATAACAGGAGAAGCGCAGCAGTTAACTTGCTTTGGACCCATCGAAATGTATTGAGGGAACTTTCCCTGTTTGTTAACATGAGTTACCTGAGAGCAGGTGGGAGGGCTTTGGGGAACCACAGGGGCAGCTTTGGCCTTGAATTCTTGTTTTGCTAATGGGCTTCTTCTAAGGTGTAGGATGTCCTGCTCAGTCTGTCATTCTGTTCCATTGTGTCATTACCCTCACAGCTTGCAGGAGTGTCTTCCAGTGCTCAGTTCAACTAACCAAGTCCCTACATCTCAATCTCATGATGCCCTTGTCAGCAAGGCTGATAAACCTTTCCTTCCACACCCAGCGCTGTTTCTTCCCTCAACTCAAGGTACTTTTCCATGTGCAAATTAGACCTGACTGTTTTATTTCTCATCTGTTTTGGAAGATGCTTTCATACCATTATTACAAAAGCAATGGGGATCATGTACTCAAGTAAAGGATTTAGCGACAGATTTTTAATTTTGGGGGTTTTTAAGAGGTTAAGCAAGTTCTTTCTATTTCTGTATTTTTAATATCAACAAGGAAGTTTAAGAGAAACAGAGTTGTTCTATACTTCCCAGCAAGGGATCTGTATTTGCCATGGTGATCAGTTTGAGTATGTATCAGCTTGGTTTCTTGGGAAAAAAAAAGAACATTTGCTCTTCTAGGAAACATTTCAGTGCCATTGGTCTAAGAATAGCAATCTTCTTTTTATTGCATCTCAAATTTCAGAAGTATGGCTTATCTTTTATTGTGCATGCAGTACAGAGATTTCAGATGAAATACCACTCTGTTCTGCTGAAGCATGAAGAACTTATAATGCTTCATTCTGTGGTTGATTGCATTGTTTTTTTCCTAACCAAAATTAATTCATGAATAAAGGAACCAATCATGGCCTCTTCTCTCTGAGCACATCAGTTGCTTGGTGACCCCAATGGGAACAACAGTGCTGAAATAGTTGAAGTGGCAAGCAAGTCCCTGGCTACACATTTAAGCACTGAAAAAAAAAAAAAAACCTATAGTTTCAGGCAACTTCCAAGAACAGAGACAAAGCTACAGCACTGTGGCCTAGGAGATCTCTGTCATTGCAACGCTGGTGGAGCCAGTTCAGCTCGCTCCCTGCAGAGTAAGCAGGGGCAGTGCCAGTTTTACAGGGAAGTAAGCAGTGTGATTGCCCAGAATGCTGTAAAGGTTGCAGAGCAAAGAACTGAAACTGTATCCTTTACTCAGGATTTTGATGTGTTTAACCCAAGTGTTGGAGGCAGGACATTACTCCCAAAGGACCTTTTGAGCTGGAGCAGCTGTGAAGATACGTTGTGTACCTTGGAGCATCTCAGAAGGGAGAGGTGGAAGGCTGGATATCTAAGCTAACCCCCTGGTACCCAGAGCAGACACAAATACTGCCACAGTTCTCTCAGCTGAACTTAAGCCTTTGAATCCTGCTGAGGACTGGCAGCAGAGGGGCCAGAACCCATTGAACAAAAAGATGGTCTAGGGTCCTGGGCTATTGCCATACATAGCTACATCAATCCCTCTGGGCACAGCAGAGTGCAGGCACATGGAGGCTGGCCCTCCTTATACCCCACCCTGCACTAATCACACAGAGAAGATTGGCCAGAAGAATGTGTGTTCTCCTGCTCTTCTTCACCTGTCAACAAGCACGTTGGTGCTCCCAGGGAAACAGAGAGAACCTTACAAGAAAACCAACTGTTAGTTATATTTTAAAATATCTTCTTTTTCAGCTTCACCTCCCTGCCAGCCTTGTTCAGGGAAGTTTTAATAGTGTCTGGCTTCTCTTTGGTCTTGTGTACAAGATGAGGAAGTTTTCATCTGTGCCTTTAAAAAACGCTTGCATCCCTGCCAAGATGTATTAGGAGAGCTGTAAAAAAGGAGTCATCATGTTCCAGGAGCACGAGGCTTATGTAACAGGGAAATCCTAACGAAAAGACACTCCCCCACCCCGCGCATGCTTTTCCAAGGCACATGCCACTTCAGGGGTTTCAGATGCTCAATTCGTATTTTGATCACATCTGCCACTGGTTTATTCAGATGTATTTACAAATATATTCTCCCACATCCCCTCATTTGTACATGCCATAGAATGTTTTTATAAAACGCAGTGCAGACCTCACCTCACCACAAGGATCTTTAAATAAAATATATTGTAAAGTGCCAGATAATTCTTTTAAAAAACACGGTTCTAATTAAAACAGATACTTGGCCACTGCATTAGCAGCTCCGTATACTGATACATTTTTAGCACAGCAGTCTATTTCTGTCAGGTGAGCAGGAGGCTCTCATACCACCCCTCTAGCTCTCCAGTTTCAAGTCCAACGGCTTTAGAAAGTGAGGCAGAGGCAGATTGTCCAGAGCCTCTGGGAAATGCTCAGGTGAAATGGTCCTGATCAAGACACGCATGGCTCCGACAAACAGTGATGGGGGAGCTAAGCCCACCAGGCACTGGAACCTGCTCACCCCCAGGAGGTCCTGCCACTGCTGCCGGTTGTCCAACAGTTGCTGTTTCATTGTGAACTGGAGGTCCTGAGGCACGAAGAAGAAGAGGCAGTCGAGGCAGAGGAGCTTGGCACGCATGTTAGCTGCGGGCGCGTGGGAGATCTGCTGCAGCAAGGTGTCGAGGGGGGTATTCCCGGCACTGTCCTGCAGGCAGGGTGACGCACCGTGCCCAAGCAGCAGGAGCAGGCACTCAGGTCGCACCAGTTCACAGGCCACGTGCAAGGCTGTCTTACCACCCTCCACACGGCTGCAGCCCCTGCGGTCCAGGTGGCTGGCTCGGTCGCTTGGCGGGAAGGCCTGGATGGCCTTGAGGATTCGGAAGAGGACCCGGACCCGATTGTAGCGGACAGCCATGGCCAGGTGTGGGGCCGAGGATTGACAGCAGCTGAAGCTTTGACTGGGCACAGCCAGGGCGCTCTCGGGGAACTTAGTCAGGAGGTGCCGGGCGTAGGGCTGGTGATCGTGCACCAGCGCATAGAGCAGGGCCTCCGAGGGCGAGTACACACTCACCTTGCCCCCGTCCTCCCAGTGGAAGACCTCCATGGTCCGCATGTCCTCCAGGAACCAGACAGGCAGCAAGTCCCTCACCGCCTGGTAGAAGGCGAAGGAGGATTTCTTGCACTGCTTCTGGGACTGGGCCCCGCGGCCGCCGACCCACCGGACGCTCCAAGGCATGACGGGCAGCTGCGCTCCGCCGGGGGGCTGCCTCCCACCCTGGCGCGCAGAGGCCGCATCGGGCCGGGACCTGCGGGAGCGGAAGGACGGTCAGTCCCGAACAGCCGGAGCTCCCCGCGCTGCTCCCGCCTCCCCGCCGGCCCTCCCGCCACCGGCACGGGGGAACACCGAGCCGCGGCGGCACCGGACACCCCCCCCCCCCGGGGGCAGGGGAACACCCGTACCGCCGCGCACGGGACTCCCGTATCCCCGCGGTGAGCAGGACGGCCGAAGCCCCGTGCCCGGGAAGCCGCGCTGCCGGCGCTCACCTCCCGCTGGCCCCGCGGTGCTCGCTGCTCGTGGCCGCCGCCGTGGAGGGGCGCGCAGGGAGGCGCGAGCTGGGCGCGCCGCCGCGGGGGCCCTTTTATCCCCACCCCCCGGCCCGGGCGGTGAAGGTCGGTCAGGACCGGGGAACTGTCCAGCCGCCGCCGATTGGCTGCCGCCCCGGCGCCCCCGGGCGCCCATTGGCTGCGCGCAGAGGACGGGGCCCGGCACCCGCGCGTGCGTCACGGGAGGCGAAGTTCCAAGAAACTTGGCTGCGGAGGCCGGGGCGGGGCCGGGGGTGCGGGACCGCGGCACGGCGGCCGGTGGGGACGTGGGGGGGGCTGCGTCTGTGGGGTGCAGGGCACGCAGGGACCCGGGCACATGGGCTCCTGGGAGCGTGGTGTCCGGACCACAGGGAGAGCTGTGCGCGGGACGCTGGGACACCGGGGCTCCTGGGTGTAGGAGGCTGCAGCCGCGCTGTGCCCAAGCGCGCAGGGTCCTGGGCAGGCGGTGTCACCTCCCGGCGTGCCCTGGCAGGGCTCAGCCTGGCCCGGGCCAGTTCTCAGCTCACCCTCTGCTCTTCCCCTGCAGGTGGCCCTGGCCGGAGGCTGGCGCTGCCCGGGAGCCGGTGCGGGTCGTGGGCTCCCACATGTGTGTGCACGGGTGATTGCTGCAAAACTCGTGTCTCTTGCTTGTCTCCCAGATGGTGACATTTGCCTGCAGCCCTTCCTGCTGACAGTTACCTGTCAGATTTTGGCTACAGAAGAGCGAGGAGGTGGTGGTGGCACAGGGTGAGCCTGGCGCTGCTGGCAGCTCTGCACCAGGGACTCCCTCCCCTGGGCACCTGCAGTCTCTTGGCCCTAAAATGCATGGAGGTAACAGCCACACACTGGTAAAGCAAGTGCTGTTGTTACTGGGATCTGCTCTCTCATAAGGCCTCCTTGCTGATAGCAAATCCTGGGATCTGCTACATCCTTGCCCCCCCCAGCAGGTTCAGAGCATTTCTCTCTTTCTCCCTGTGTGTTTGACCCCCAGTGTCTCCCCCACTTGCCACCATTTCCCTCTCAATCGGGAAGGTGTGATCAGGCTCTAGGCTCTCCGCAGGTGGGTAATGCCAGTCACTGTCAGGTTCATGGCTGACAGCTCTGGTTTCCTCATCCTTGGGGCTCCCCAGCCTTCCCCTCACTGGTATGGGAGCGCAATGTCTGCTGACCACCCCAGGAACAGGCAGTGCTTTCCACATGCCCCAGCATGATGTGTGCATGTGTGCACATTATGGATATTACCAGGCATGTGCTGAAGTGTCCCACTTCCTTACAGCCCTCTCTGTGATGCTGCTTGGAGTGGCAGGGAGGGAGCCTGCAGGATGCCGCCAACCATTCCCTCGACCCCAGTAAGAACGAAGCTGGCAAGGAACAACCACTGCCTTTGTCATGCCTCTTGTGAACCGCCATTCAGCCAGGGAAACAATGCTTAAGCTGTGCTCCGTTTGCTTTGTAACTTCTTCCCTGCTGTGTGTTGTTCACAGCAAAACCCAGGTCCCTGCGAGGGGATGCAGGCAAGTGGGTGAGCTGGGCAGGACACTGCACACTGCTGTCATATTCCGCAACACTTGGTGACCGCATCTGAATGAAGAGAAATTGGGGTAATGTTTGCTAAGCTGCTCTGCTGGACAGAATTAAGTCCAGCATTTGTCAGTGCAATTCGTCATCCAAGTATCTGCACAGATCCACCACAGCTCCTGGTGTCTCAGGTGTCAGCTGCGGCACGGAAAATCCTCTTTCATCACTCGTGTCGGATTCCAGATGAAAACTCATTAAAGGCAACCATTTCCACCACCCCGTGCTATTGCCAGGCACTCACCTGTCACTTGCATCCTATTACTGCAAGCATGGGATAATTTGTACCAAAGTTTGGGATCAAAATAAATGGTTTTAAACCAGCTAATTCTGTAGCTCTTCCTTTGTGTCCAGTGCAGCCTCACCCGCCTGTGCCTTGCTGTCTGTCACTGATGGTAGTGGCACCTGCTGCATCTCTGAGTGTTGCCTGCTCTGGGAAATGGCCTTGCCCAACCACCAATCCCAAATCCACTCCCTGCCATCACCAGGACATTGGCATCGATTTGTATGTCCAGTGTGATGATAAGCCAGGCTGCCCAGCCTTTTCTACTCATCTTCTGCACATGCTTGGGTAAGCCAAGTGGTGTCAAAGCTCAAAGGCAAGGGGTTAGAATAGTTGCAAAACCAAATTGGGTTTTCTGTAGGAAATTAATGCCTTTGGTGTGGAAGCAGCATGTTTTTTCTTGGGCCAAGCTCTCCAATGGAGGTAGGGGGACCAGCTACAACTGTAGAGTGCTATGGGCCCCAGCATTGGCTTGAAAACAGGCCAGAGCATGCTGAGTCCTCACTGCCCCAGAGCTGGCTCCTGTCTGCAAAATATATTTGTCACATACATTTGAAGCAGAAGCCTGCCTGTAGGCAAGACAGCCTGTTTTCACTGGAGCAAAAGTATTACATTTGCCCCCAAAATTGTTTATAGCATGCCCAGCACTAGCAGTGAAGCACAACAACCCAAAAAGGTTTTAATTTTGTGATACGTATTTTATGTGCAGACCATGGACATGCCTCATTTACTTGCAGTCCAGCCTGCTTTTAATCACTTTGAATTAAGTAACTGATCTTATTACTGATCCGACTGTGAGAGGGCTTATCATAGCTTCCTTGGCACATGACAAAGATGTGCCGTCTGTGCAACCATGTCTGAGTAATGTGACGTGTCGTCTCGGAGCTATTCTTTTCTTCACCCTCCTACAGGACACTGCTCTTTTGGTTTCTTGAGTGCATTGATCCTTTGCTTTCTCCAGCCAGTGACAAATTAACCCCCCCCCTACTGAAACCCAGCCACGTAAAATGGGACGGAGGGGAAAGCTCTGCTGTTTCTTCTAGCAGACGTCATTTGTTTCCTGAGGTTTTCATTAAATAAGGGCAGGATCATACTAACTTAATGGACTTGATTGTGGGTGTAATTAAAAGCACCATGAAAATAGGCAGTTATCAGGGTGCATACTGAACATAGTTAATGTTTAGTGCTGGTTTTGAGCCTGAGATGGAAGCTGGGCAAAGAATACATCCCTCATCTTTGAAAAGGGCTGAAAGATACAGGTTTTACTCCAGTCCTTGCAAGGATTTTGTGTGTGAGTTTGACTCTGAACATTTACCTGTCTCCTTTCAAAGGTCAGCAGAGTTTGGACAACAACTCTGGAGCTGCGGTGGGCTGAAGCAGCAGAGCTGCCGCTTTGCTTTAAGCCTCTGGCTCTGAGGTCTTTGTCAGCAAGTCAGGTAGAAACAGCTGATCTCCCAGTCAGGTAAAATTAAACATCTTCAGAGAGAAGCAATGAGTGCTGGTGGTTTGCAGTAAGGGCACTCAGCTGGAATATACGCTTGGATCTTCCCCTCCCACGGCAGGTACTTCATTGACCTTCAGTTTGCGGTGCCATCAGCATCCCATTTGCAGAAGGGGTGCAGTAATGTTGCTTTGACCACCTTGGTTTAGCCCATGAGTTCTGTAGGTCAGGGATAGTATGCAAGTGTATCAGTTTGGTCCTTGAGGTTCTGGCTCTGCATAGGGATCCCTCTGCTCTGCTGTGTTAGACAGGGAATAGAGGCTGGTCATCCAGCAGTAGCCTGCGGGGACACAAGAAGGCAGAGCTGCTAGCAGTCTATATGGGACTTGGTTCTCCTTTGGTGAGGTCACGCCAGGTGAAGAGCTGAATGGCAGACCCAGGCACCTCTGCTTAGCTGTGATGAATAGTAGCTGCTGCTGACACCTCGTGGAAGCCTTAGATAAATATTTTCTCCAGAATACCCTGTTTCCTTTTCTCCACTGCTGCTGGTTCCCTATCTGAGGAGCTCACCCTTTATTTCTATCCTGTCCGGAGCACCCAGCCGGGAAGCAGACAGCAGGGCCTCCAGCTGCTTACAGGACCAGGGATGGGAAGGCAGACAAGAAAGGCTGCCCAGGGACTGTTCTTTACCTCTCTGAGGAGGGCATGTGTTCTCCCTGCGCTGTGGTGAATGCAGCTCACCATGGGTGTCTTTTGCACATCAGATGCAGAGAGGAAAGCATCCCGCTCCTATACTCACCTGTGGGTCTGAAACATTCATTGCATACATGCCTGTTGTGTGCCTGTTTTGCCCATCTCCATTTTTTGGGGGCATATTGGCAAGTGCCGTTATAAATCACTCTGCCCTTTCATTTCAGAAGCACAAATATCTATGTGAAAAAGTCACAGAAGTTTTCCTGGGAAGTGAGAAAATATGTTTATTTGAGAAGCAAGAATGCTGAAGGTGTTGCTGGGAGTCAGCAGTGGTCTTGGTTGGGCCATTGCTGCTGGCTCCATATCTGAAACCATCAGACAACATCACTCTGTCCAGGGGTGGAGTCATGGCCTTGAACCCTGTTCTCACCTCTCATCTCTGCACTGTCTCGCCCATCACTCACAGCACCCACATCTTCTTCCTCCCCAGTCTTCTTTTGTATTAGTCACTCTCTACTTGCCTGACTTCATATGAATCATCATTTCACATTAAGCCTGAGCTGCCCATAACCCTGGCTGCTTTGGCTTCTCTGCTGTGCTATAGAGTCAGCTCCATCCTAACCCACAGCATGAAAGGAAAATCTGCTTTGGAAACAGCAAAGTGAACAAGTCTTCTCTTGTTACACTTGTGTCCTGGCTGCTGCAGAGTGAATGTGACACCCTTCCAAAAATTTGCATCCCAAATGGTGCCTGGGAACCTCAAGCGAAGCTATCGAATACTTCATTTTGGAAAAGAAATCTCTTCACCAGCTCTGGAGGAAGTATGTAACATGAGGTTCCACTGCAGTCAAACATCAGTCCTGGCCGATGGGAGGCTGAATGCATGGCTCAACTGGTGTCACTGATCTGCTGAGGCTGTTGGTGCCCACTGGTGGGATAACGCAGTTTTTAAGGCTTTGAAACTTGGTTTTGAACGCTGGTTCCTTGACAGAGAAAAGTGGTCTGGCAGAAGTGAGGTAGGCAGCAAGGTGATAAGGTCCTTCAGTGGCAGCTACCACACAAGCCCTCAGGGGTGGTCACAGGCCATCATCAGGGTCCTGTTTATTTTGACTGGGTTTGCAGGCCACTGCTCATTAAACCTTGATTTTGGTATTTGTGATAAATGAGCCATGTTCATCCTTTTGGAAACCTAGGCAAATTCCCAGAGCTGCAGCAGAGATTAATTTTGACCCAGCAAGTTACAGGGGGAAGCTGAAAAGAGTACTTGTCCCTTAAAAGACAAAAATACCTTTTGGGGAGCCTTTCTGTTTTGTAAGCAAGGAGATGATGGGGGTCAGAGAGCTCCTGGTGCCTGTGGACGATTTTGGCTTTCAGCTTGATGTTGGTTGTTGAAAATGTTTCCCCAGATGTATTAATACAACCAGACTGGATTGCATCTGAGCTGAACATTGTGAGCCTAAGGCAGGACATAAATATAGAAGCAAACCAGCCTGACATAAGAGTCATCTGTCCTCTTCTGCACAAGAAGCGAAAGGGAAAGAGAGACAACTTATTCTGTTGCAATTTTTAGATGCTTCCAGGCATTAGCTTGGGCTTCTGAGAGTGCCTGCCCCAGGGCCCTGGGGCACAGAAGACCCCATGTATCCCTCGCTCAGCCCCCAGCATGCTGTGCCACAGGACTAAGCACTCAGCACATTTTTAACCCGGGGTTAGATTTGCTTAGACAAGGTCTGCAATTGGGAATGACTATTTGATGTGTTTGCCTAACAGGATTACCCTTATCATAATGATATTGCAACCTGGCCTTGGCAGGGCAAACCCCAAGGGCTCAAGGGATCAAACCCTCACCTCCCTTGCCCCAGATAGGCACAGCAGAGCTTGCCTCTTAGCATGCAGTATCCAGCCAGTGTTTCAGTTGGCATTTAATACTCTGCTTTTGGAAATGGCTCTTTTGCTGTGAACCACGGACTGCAGACACCATGTTTGGAATTCATCTCTTCACATCTGAAAAAAAAATTAAAATCAATAATATTTGAAGGCTGGAAAAACAATGCCGTGTTTTACAATTAGAGAACTGTACACCTTCCCTGTTGGGAATTGCCCTGAGCAGGTGCCTGATTGAATTCAGTGTGAATTTTTTGTCCTCTGGCTCCCTAAGAATAGGTAATGAACCAACAAGTTGCCTGCTTTTTTGTATTGTGTATTGTGAACATGCCTAAAATCGTTATAGAAGCATCTGTTTGTCTCTAAAAGTGTATCTGTGGTTATTAAAGTCTGCTGACTTAAAAGACTCGAGGAAGGCGTAGGATGAAAGCTCTGTTTTCCTTCAGGTAAATAGGATAACAGCTTTGCTAAAGCAGAGCCTGACTCCACTGATGGTTGGCACCCAGACATGTCCACCCCAGTTTCTGGCAGAGTGAGGGGCACCCCGTTGTTCCCCGGCAGTGTCACTTTAACCCTAGCACTTCTCGGACCAGCTAAGATGAGCCTGGCCTTACCACCTCTCAGGGCTATTTGTGGAAGCAGAACCTGCTGCTTGCTATTTGGGGGTTCCAAAACAACCAGAATCCTCTATTTATAATCTGCTATAACTGGCTTGAATGAAACCTGTGCTTCTCTGGGCTTTAGGGCCACAAGACTGCTGGTGCAGCAGCACCCTCATTCCAGGGAATGCTGCTGGGGATGCTGAGATGGTTCTGCATAAAATCAAGGGATGTGTAGGTACATAGTGTGAGCCATACGTTCACAGCCTCCTGGGTTTTGGAGCAGACTGTACTTGTCAAGGCTATGTTGAACCCCTTCTCTAGACAAGGTTTGGAAGGATGGAGCAAGGCAGAGAGACATCTTCCCACTGCAGCAGCATCACTGTGGAGATGCTCGGGTTGCTGAAGGGAGTGTTACTCTAACCATCCTTTTTTTTTCCCCCCAAGGCTTTTATAGCTGGGATGTGAGCAGGGCCCTGTGACTTGGAAACAACCTATTCAGTGATTTCAGTTCACCTGTGATTAGTGTATATTTAATCTTGGTGGTGAATGTGGCTGTTCACATCTTGCTGTTCAGAGTGGAACTGCTCTGACCTCGTAGCTCATTGCAGGACAAACTCCTCCTCTCCAAGACAAAGCAAATCAGCCACCTCTTTTTTTGGAAGCAGGTACATATAGTATAATGCTTACCCAGGGGTTGTAGTTGATCTGGTTTTGCTGTGATAAATCCCTCTGCCATTTCAGCCATAAAACATGATAAATATGAGGCCAAGCAGAAAGATTAAAAAAATAAATAAATATTGACTAATGCTTTGCATGTCTTTGAAGAGTTATTTAACTCCCGTTTGTTCATTCTCTCCACTCTTGGCTGCCACTGGGTCTGTTGAAATAACAAACAGGGATGAGGAAAGAGGGCAGCTTTGTAAGGAGCTTCCTTCTGTGGGAAGTGGCTGCACAGCAGTTAACTCTAACGGCAACTGCAGCCTCAATTGGCAGATGATCATCTGTCATATGCACCCCAATAGGAAACCTGTTGGGTTTTGTCTGAAAAAGACTGGATTTTCAGTCAAAAGCCTTTCTGCTGCAAAGTGGTGTTTAGAAAGAGTCTGTCTTTTCCTTTTGTTTAGCACAAAAATAGAAGTCTCTGATGCTGCCTGAAGCTGCCCTGCTGCCAAGAAAACCTCCCAGGTCTGGTGATGAGGCCTCTGCAATATTTCCACGTTCTGTGATTATTTTCTAATGAAAGTTTCAAACCCAAGTACAATCAGGAGGTTCTACCATAGCAAATTCACAGCAGGGCTTCTCAGTTTGCTTTTCTTCTTTCTACATCAGTACCTATCCCCTATGTAGAGGCAATAAGATAATTTTGTGCATATAAATGTACCTAAAATCAGGGTGACAATGCCTTTTACCTGCTGGATTTGGCACCAGCGTCATTTTATGCAATTCTCCATTTGGAAGCATTGCTTTTGCACTGAAATTATTGTAGCTGCCTCATCATGTTTGTCCATTAGTGCATCTTTTCATGGCTTAGTAAGTGGCTGAGAGATTAGGACGCAGCTCCCCTTGCCCTTCTGCACATGCAATTTAGGGAAATGGGAAGACTGATGTTTCCAAGGTGCTGCCAGTTTTTTGTGATGTCTTCAGCCCTGAAAACAGAAATAAAAAAGGGCTGAAAAGGTGATGTAAAGTGTCAGCTAGGTGAGATGGATGACAAAAACAAGCCAGGCATAAATAGCAATGCTGGTATAAATAGAGAGGGTGAGAAGCACCTGAGCCCAGCTGCTTAGCATGGCAGAAAGGTCGGCTTTGCTCCCTGCCACTGCCTGAGCCATGCAAGGGCCACGGCATTCTCCCTGTTGGCTCTGCTCCCTGGACCTCTCCTGTAGGCCTGCTCAGATATCAGGTCTGGGACAGGCTCAGCGGGCTCACGATCATCTTCCGTCTCAGCAGCAGGGCTGCCCATGGTGGAGCAGACACCATTGCAGTGAGCAACGTGTTTGGAGCACACACTTTTGGTTTTTTTTAATGCAGAAAGTTGTGGAACGATTGGAGAAGCCATTGGGGTCCTTCAGACATTCTCCCAGAGCCGGGTTCCCATGCTGGCCACGCAGCCCATCTGTGTGCCCCACACACCCTAGCAGGGTCTGTCACAAACGAGGGTTCTTTGATGGGGTCTTGGGAGTGCTGCTGCTTGGCAGCTCACCCGGAGCTGGGTGAGGCAGCATGTCCTGAAGCACCCAGCGGGACAGGTGGGAATTTCACCTCAATGAAATGAGGATTTTTACTGAAGCCAATAGGAAAGCAGGTAACAGAAGCAGGAGGAAAGGTCTATGCATGGCGAGTTACAGCCCCAGGGGCTGGAAATGGAAACAATAATGAAAGAGTTATAGTGCATTCTAAGACGTATTGCAGGAGACAGACGAAATACTCGGGCTTGCCTCTTCATGTCTGCCAACCTCTAGCCCCACACTTTTTACCCCCAAGCCAGGGATGACAGAATACGAAGTGCCTGAGTGTCAGTTTGCAGCCAGGTGTTTCAGCTTAAACTGCTGAGGAAAGTGGGTCTGGGCTAATGTACTAGTGAAGTGTGATAAAAGGTCTTAGAGTAGTGCTTGTGCTTAGCAGAGGTAATGCTGTTGGGTTCTTCTAAGTAGTGTCAGAATTTGAGATTCCTTTATGCTTGTGATTGGGCTTAGACCACAAGTAATGCAAGTTTTCATATCAGTTTTTCCTGGAAACCTTGCTGCTGTCCCCAAGGCACAACTATTCCTGTAAACGGGCTGCTCTTGCAATTCATGTGCTCTGTGAAGCAGAAAGGAAAACATCTTGGCCAGGGTTCAGGTACCTTTGTCTGTTGTCCTGGATAAGTGCCTGACAAGAGTTCAAGGTCTTTGCTTGTATAGGATAAAAGCAGATTCTCTTAAGTTGCTGCTGGTATCCCTGGACTCCCTGAGGGCACTGCTCTGGTGCTTCCAGTGTCTGGGCTGGACTTCCTGAGTAAAATGAGGTTTGCTGTGTGGTCTGTAGTTTGTCCTGGTTCAGAGGTGAGCTTCCAGGTTTTCAGTCTCTGGCGTGCAGGAGCATGGGATGGTAGCCCATTGCAGTGATCCTTGGAAGCAAGCCAAGGGTGGTTTTAGCACCATCATTAGGATTCAGAGTTGACAGCCTGTGGAGATGAAAAGATGAGCCTTGGTGCTGTTATTTCCAGCTTTTTGTCATGGGACTGGTTCTCTGATGATACGCTTATGCTCTCACAGACTAAGTGCTTCTGAGGGCTGGGGTTTTTCAGCAGGAGTGTAAGGATGATGGAGTGTGGAAATGAGAATTCAGAGCAGTGGGATGCAACATTCAGGCTTGTTTTAGGAACTCCACAGGGCTGAACCAGACACCAGAAGCTAAACTCATCGTGTTGAGAATGGAGCTGCATCCACTCTGCTCTGCCACCTTTCAGCCCTGCTCTCACAGGGCTTCCCCAGCTCTGTCTGCCCGACGCCATGGGTAACTTCCCAAAGCTGGATCCTCAACTGCCTTCATGTCTGCAGAGGCTTGTTAGTCATTTCCCACTTATAAACAAATGTTTTGGAGACACTGGAGAAGCTGGGCCACCAAGGGGACAAAGCTCCATTGCTTTTAGAGTAGCTCATTCATCACTGAGTTTTATTGTGCAGCAGTTCAGCCACTGATGAATTGAAGCCACCCTCTGCTTGTGGTACAGGGAACAGGAAATGTGCTTCTCATGCAGGCCACTTTTTAAATCTTCAGTTTGGTTTCCATCTTAAAGGTGTTGCAGACGAGATGGGTTTGTTATGAACTTTTATGGCTTTATTTTACTATTTAGAAAAAGACTTTTCATTTGCTTATTTGTTTAAAACTTATTTTTCCCCTTTCTTTGCAGCAAAGCCTGGGTTTGCTTCATTGTTTTTCCACTGATGAACCCATACTGTTTCAAGACCTTTCCTTCTTCCTTACATCCAGAGGCTCCATCCTTACATCCCCCCAAGTTTTCTCTTGGAACACTTGCATTGGTAGGGCAACAGGGATCTGAGGTGTAGTTGTTACTGCAAACTAAAGGCAAACAATTCAAACCAGTCCTTGCAAAAGGAGGAATCTGCTCACCTATGTTTAACTGCTATCTGGCTTTGGCACTCCTCCAAACTTCATTTCCACTTGTGTGACCTACCTGTAGGTGTGCGTACACATGTTCCTCTTGCTAACCCAGGCAGGGCATCAGGTTCCTGACATGGTTCTTGAAAATCCCATGTGAGCGAGGACATGCACGGCTTGGGAGTGAATGATTGCCAGGTCTCCCGGACCATTAGAGCGGCAGTGCTGGAAACAGCCCCAGGGAGCACCACTGTTGCAAATGATCATCCAGCCCCCTCCTTGAAGAGCTCCTTGGAAGAAAATGTTTGTGGGGCTTAAAGGGGAAAATTGCTTCTGCCACCCAGAGCAGCAGCCTGGGACAGTACTGAGCTCAACTCCCGCTGAAGCTGCTGGGGGCTCACTTCAAAGCTTAGCGTATGTTAAGAGGTTTCTGAACAGGGACAACTCCTTGATGCTGGTGCAAAGAGTGTGTCGCTCTGGTGTGTAAGCCTTGCAGGTTCCCTCTACTTTACTGCACTTCCTTAGGAGCTGGAAAACAACATTTTCTGCTGGACTTCCCCCCCACCCCACCCGCAGTGACAGCCTGGATCTGTGTCCATGAAGAGGATTCAGGTGTTCGAATTGGGTATCTCCAGTGACATTGGTCAGGCACAAAAATCATGCCATCTGAGACAGAAAAAAATATTAATTTTAGCTATCTTGCCCCAAATATCAAATTCTTTCCCTTTGTTGCTTTTAAAAATGATTTTATTTGTATTTTTAGGGCTCTTTTTCCTAAGCTGTTTAAAACTAGGAAAACCAGAAGCTTGCTGTAATTAAACTGAGACCACGGTAGGACTCACCAGGGCTCTCGCCACCGCGGTTGCCTCTCTGCCGAAGTTGACTCGCGGGGCTTGTTCCAGCTTGCCTGGCTGCGGCAGGGAGTGGATCAGCAGCCAAAGGTTACCCCCTGCAGTACATCCACGGCTACTGCAGGTGTAACGCGAGTCGGATCTCATTTGCCGGTGTGGATTTTCATGTTAAAAAGAAGAAAAAAGGGGTCAGGAAAAAAAAAAAAGTTGCTTATTTCGCTAAAATCCCGAGTCAGTTCTACCAATTTCAGCAAACGCAGGTGACTTGTCAGTGGCATGAAGGTATTGGCAGTTACTGGCGCCTTTCTTCTTCGTGGGACGCAACTGGGAGATGTGCTAGGCCAAGGACTGTGGTGTAATGACTAAGTCCGTAAGTCAGCTCTGGTGTAATGACTAAGTCCATAAGTCAGCTCCAGGCGCAGTTTTGCCCTTCACCCATGACCAAGCTAAAAGTTTATGTGGTTCATGGGACTTCTGAGAAAATCCATGGGGAAACATGCTGGGGGATGCTGAGCTACGCCACAGCGCAAGGACAGGCCTAAAAATCAAACTGTTGGAAGCAGTGGGGTTTTTTTGGGAAGCATTTCATTGATTTTCTGTTCTTGTAATATTCCCACCTCCAGCTGCACCCAGGACAGAGGGACCTTCGTGTAATCTAGAGCAGGAGCTCTTGCTCTCTCAAGGACATGTGTGCCAGCATGTCCTGATGCCAGTCGGACTTGCTGTTGCTGCAGACTTGCCAAATTTGAGCTAATTCAGCAGAATGTATTACACAGAGGTCACAGCTGAAGTGTCCTTTCCGGCTTTACCTGATTACATCCTTTTCCAAAGGAAACTGAGCTCCTGAAGAATGTGCTGGCCTTGTGCATCACTAAGGTCTGCCTGCCTTGTGCATCATCTAAATCAAGGTCTGCCCATGCTGCTGGGGTGGCATCTACCCCGGTATATGGACCTGCCCCATTTTAGGGATGCAGAAGAGCTTGGCCAAAAGTTGGCAGGGGTTAATGAAGCAGTTGGGGTGCTTTGTCCCCCTCTAACATATACATACAGACCCCTTCAGCTCTTAGCTGGCTGCTGGCACAGGCCTCAGCGTGGCACAGCCTGTGTTTTCTCATGTGAAATTCAATAAATTCAGCATTTTCAGGACATTGGCATAATCAGGGTTTTCAATCTTCTCCTTCATTGCCTTCTAATATGCCCTCCTAACAATTACCTCTGTGTTTTGGGAGAACGCCAAATGCAGGGCAAAAGACTTCGTTTTTCTTTCCCATAATTAAATGTCGTGTTTGCTGCTGTCTCTCCCACTTGATCAAGTGTCCACGCATGGTCTAAAATGCTGGTGAATTAGCATAAGGTCTATCAGGATTTGACCAATATTCTCCCTCCTGCTGCATCTGTGCAGCTCACAAAGAGCAGTGTTGTCCGGCGATGGGGCCCTGGAAATGGGCCATTCCCCTGGCCTTTCACAGGGGTACAGGCACAGGCTGGGGGAGTGCTGTGATTCTCTGTGCCTACCTCGCCTCGCTTGAAGCAGCCGTGCCTGGTGATAGAGCCCATGGCCCCCTGTGTGGCACTGTGACTGCACCTGGTTTGCTCCTGCAGGAAACTTCTTGGATGTCAAAGGAAACAGCTTTTTACTGCAGTTCTGTAAAAACCAATTGCAAAAGCTCTCCATCCATGCTGCAGGCTAATTGTGGCAGCTAGCTGATGAAAGAGCCTTTTTCTAAATTACATCTGAAGGCATATTGGAGAAACATTCCCCAGGCCAGACTCTGGCAACATCTACAGCACTGCAAATGATGGCAAAAAATTATCTCAGGGTTATGGGTCCCAGTTATGGGCTGGGAGGTGCGATGAGTATAATAGCTTTCTACCAGTTCAGGATGAGATGGAGGTGAGCTGATGGCTGAAGTCCTCACCACAAGATAAGGGCTGTGGTTACCCCGGCTGGCAGCCCTGTCCTGGAAAGTGGTTCATCGTTGCTCAGAGCATTTGCCCAAAAAGCATTTCCTGAAGCTAATGCCCCTGTTGCCACATCTCCCAGGGCTCCTCTGTATCACTAGACTCCACATAGAAAGTGCTGGCAAGTACCCGGGTGGTATGGCATTTCTGCTTAGCTTTTTGGCACAGCCCCACCTCCCAACAGGAGCGTGTCCCTATCTCTATTACATCCTGCACTACCTAGCCCTGTTCTTTACCCTCCAAAATGTTCCTGGAGCCTTCTTCCCCCACCATCCTCATTCATCCGCTTGGTTCTTAAATTTTCATAAGTCAATTTCTCTTTGATTGCCAAGTTCATAAATAGTCTTTCTGGTATGGATGACCCATCTTTCTGATGAGTCATTATAAGTTGGGAGAAGACTAGTGGCGAGGGGAACAGGGCTGGCAGATAAACCTGGGATGTATGTGGCTATGAGTCCCAAGCCCTCCTTGCCCGAGGTACTTCTCCAACCACTGTTGTTTCCCCACCTCCTCCCACATCCCTCTCTATGTCCACTGGATAAACAGCCACAAAAAGGGAGTCTTTGTTTCCAGCAGCTTTGGGGAATGGCTCGTGGTGGTACAGATAACCCTGCCTGTAAGCAAGCAGAAAGGCTGCAGTACAACTGGGTGGGTACACAATGAATTATTCACCAGCTGTTTCCTCTCCTTTCAAGAGTTTGCTGTAAAACCAGGGGCCAGAAGTGGTGCATGTGAGATGTGTAATCGACCACACAAAAGGAGTTTGAGCTTGCAAGGGTGCTTGCAAGCTTGCAAGGGTGCTTGCTGGGTATGCAGTCCATCCTGGTCACAGGGACCTGGTTTGTGTCTGGACCTTCATGGTGTTTGACTGCAGGTGGCCCATGAATGTGTTTTCTTTGTTCTCTGGATGCCTGCTGAAGACCTGAAAACCTGATTTACAGAAGTGCCAGGTGCCCACGGCTTTGAGACACGTTAGTAAGAATGATGCCTTGAAAACACAGGGAGAATCACAGTGCCTCAAGCCCCGATGACTCGGGTCTTGGGGCTTTCTGCTTGAGCCCCTGCAACTGATGGCTGTTTGCAGCCACTCCTTTGCATGCCCCAGTCCCTAAGGCAGCGATAGTGACAGGCCTACACTCCTTGGGCTGCAGTTAAAGTAGATGCTTTCACATCGCGTTGCATTGGCAAGGTACTCTGGAGAAAAGCCCATGACAAGAAAATACAGATCCTGAATCCACTGAGAAAAATGGAGTTGAGCTCAGGCTAAGCAAGTACTGCTCATTCTAAGGGCCCTGTGCTTTCATTTCTGCCTTTGGCTGAAAACTGTTGGCTAAGATGTAAATAAAAAACATTTCTGGTTTGTTATTTTTTTTTTTTCTTCAACCTGGCTATTCCAATTGCCATGAAAAATATGTCCAGGATTTTTTTATAACCTCCTACAGCTCTCAGTGTTAGCCTCCGCTCCCCAGGGCCCATAAAGTAAATGGGTAGAAACACTATAAAAATGAACGAAATCCCCAAACAGCCAGTTCACGTTCTGAGTGTCTTATTATTAAGCACTAAAAAAAAAATTCCTCTTCTTACATAATATGTGATTGTTTATGAACCTGTAACTCATCTCAAGGCATTTGAAACGGCCTTACAGTAGAATGACCTTTTAGAAATAGAGCTTTACAATAGGACACAGATGACTGCACTAAAGGGCAAGAACAGAGCAGATGTGAAACATTTTTTATATTTTAACATATTCAGAAAAGTTTTACCTAGAAAATGTATAGGTTTCTAAGAAAACAAAGGTAAAATTATTTGTTTATTTCATGTATTTGACTTTAAATAATAAGAATATTTGCCCCCTAGGCACAGTGCTTTGAAAATGTGGCACATAAGGCCAACTCCTACCTGATTCTCTGGTCCTGTTGGATGTGGGTGGTGGGAAGTGCTTTCCACCCTCCCGGTTTGCATGCTGACAAGGACTAAGCATGAAGTTGAGACCGGTCCAGCCATTCCCCAGCCCCAGAAAGGTCCTATTCTAAAAAGAGCAAAGTTAAGTTCTGC